AGTCTCCTGATTCTGCCATTTTCCTATTTAACAGCCGGCCTGCTTCGAGCAGGCGGGAAACCACCGGCTGATGCTGCCTCTCGCTCGTTCTACTGTTACGATGGTACCTGGCGCAATCTCACTTGCTAATTTTCTAGGAGCATATCATCGTTTCAGTTCGAATTACTTAGCTAAATTACTCATATTGTATTCTGCGGACTTCAAGTCCTTTAATTGAATTTATTTCCGGCACCTTTGGCTAGTCGGCATTCGTCCAGTCACTTGACCAGTCGCACCTATGCTTTTCGAAATTAACAAATAAGTAACGCACTTCGAAAATAAGTAGGAGCATTTTTACTATGTTGAATTATAAATCGGAAAAATAAAACAAGATTCTCGGATTTTAATTTTGAAACCCTCTATTTAGTTAGATTGGAATAAGATTTACTTTTGGTCCGCTAAAGCCTTGTACCGCGTGACTTTTTCTATGTAGATCACCAATCAAAATTTTGTTTTACACGGATCAGCCCGAAGAAATCAAAAAATCAAAAAAACGAAAAAATATGAAAAACAGCAGTCTAAACCTGTCTTGGCACATTAATAAAAAAGAAAGACACAGCGTGTAGGGGGATTTGTCCGCACACGTCATTTCTTATATTGCTCATTAAACTTACAATAAGCATTTGGATTATTAAGAATGAAATGAAATTATAAAGTAAAATTTGACAAGAAAAAAATTTTGTTAGAGCACAAAAGTCGGTTTGTTATGTAAGTTTTTGAGATATGATATGAACAATTTTAAGAACGAACAATTTTTTTTACGTTATTCCTGATCGTGTTACATTACGCTTTATCGCAATTTAATCATTGGTCAATTATCACATGTGCGGACAAGTCCTCCTGCATCCTGATACTGTTTTAATAAAAAACGTCGGGAGGGGAATTTTACCTATATGCCTGCCCTTACCTAACAATAAACTAACCCTAACCCTAATTACAATTAAAACTTCGACAGTCACGTGGGTACAAGGCTTTAGCGATCCCCTAAATAAGGAAATGTGGCAATTCGATGTCCAATAAAAAACATTGATTTACATATCTACCTCTGTATTATCACATTTGCACATCAGTCGCCCATATGAATAAGGTCTTTGGTTTATACCAATAGACCACGATCCGTCATAGGACCAGCCCGAAACTGAAATTAACTAGTTTACTTCAATTTGATTTAACTCAAGCTATAATCCAAAATGATTCAAAACCTATAGTCTCAAGATCGGTCCCAAGACTAGATCTTAAGACCAGTTCAGGACCGGTTTAATTATTTATTAGCATTCCAACTTTGGTAACGTGCCTATATACTTATAATTTCCTGTAGGTTTTTATTAGTTATGTATTAGCGATTTCAAAATTTTTTCTTGCAATCAAAATCCAATGCTGACCTTCAATCATAGATTATTAGGGTAGCTGCACAATGTAGTCGCGCTTAAACCAGGAATCTAGTATAATCGCTAGGCTTGCATTAAGGATCAAAATGTAGTAACGGACTCTCTAATATATACGTATTTGAGTGCTGCGAAAAGCTGGATGTGAATATTTAAGGTTTTATCATGGTAAATTTAGTCCCTGTATTACATATTGACAATCAGTGTTCTGGTAATTTTGGTAACAACACGATCGCACGAACGATCGTACGAACGTTCGTACGAAATTTAGATGAGCTTTACTAAACAATTAAGACACTGATTATACACATGATTCATTGCACTCTACATTATATGAATTTTCATAATTTTATTGTGAAATGTTTATTGTATTAACGTTAAATTATGTGTATCAGCAAATAATTTAAACTCCGTATATACGTAAATAATTTTGGTGGTCATGTTAGGTTCATCCTCATCAGTTTTTATATAGTAATAAGTTTTTGTAAGCCTTTAGTTATCACAGTATTCCGATTGTACATTTTCGCTCATAATTAAAGGGAAAGAACAATTGTTGGTGGATTCGTTAGAGAAGTCGGCTTCCCTGTTTGCCTCAGTGGCGATTCAGTGAGACGAGGATCAGAGGTAAAAGAATGGTATGGTTCAATCTCAAAGTAGGGATGAAATTTTTAAGTTGAATACGTATGCTATGTAGCCTACGTAGTTTGTGTATGCAACAGTAAACAACGAATTCTGGGATGAATATAATTACACTTAGAACTGCTAAATTGATGGATTTATTTATAGACGCTTGATATTGTTAAAATCCTATTCTTCCAACAACAAAAAAAAAAAGATGTAAAAATTATTGAATTAAATTTTATTAGTACAAAAATTGAATGACAATATAAAAACTTAGAGCAAGTGAACATCTTCAAAATTATGGAATGAATGAAATAGTAACTACAATTGATACAATTTACGTGTTCAATTATATACTACCAAAACTGGTTAAATTTGTTAGTCGCGCTTTCCGAAAACAAATCAATTTAAAATTATATTTATTTTATGGCTTTATATGGGACTTTACAGTACCAAACTGCCTGACAATCAAAAACAAAAAATTTTGGGAAATTCAAGATTACCTACCAAATTTCCGAATAGGTCCTAACAGAATAAACTTGATTATCTCAAAATCATATTTTTGGAACCCTTTGTACTACACCCTTCACGGTTCCGTTAATTTTACCGAAAATCACTCCACTGACAATTTAGTTCACCGGCAATTAATTTACAGACAAGCTTATTTTACCGACAATTAATTCACAGACAAGTTCATTTCACCGACAGTTTATTTCACTGACAGCTCTTTTCACCGACAAAGTAACTCTGGTCATTGTCGTTAGGACCGGATCCAGAATTAGAGTCAAGGTTAGTGCAATTTATAAAAAAAAAAAACTTGGTGAAATGAGCTGTCGGTGAAATAAACTTGTCTAAATTAATTGTGGGGGATTATGCTGAAAATTGGTGTTTCTTTTTAAATCTATAAAACCTACTAAAATTCACATATGCTTTTTTATTAATAAATACTACTCCCTAACCCTAACTTAACTATGAAAAAAAAGACCACAAAAAATGCCCTAAAAAATTTTACAATTTTATAATAAGATATGAAAATTTTCAGCATAATCCATTTTCAGCATAATCACCCACATTAATTGTCGGTAAAATAAGCTTGTCTGTAAATTAATTGGCAGTGAACTAAGTTGTCGGTGAAGTGATTTTCGGTGAAATAAACTGTCGGTGAAATAAACTTGTCTAAATTAATTGTCGGTAAAATAAGCTTGTCTGTAAATTAATTGGCAGTGAACTAAGTTGTCGGTGAAGTGATTTTCGGCGAAATAATACAGATCCTATACTACAATGGCTCCATATTATATGTCGATTTTAATCGCTTTTTTCATTTATTGCGATTCAGATCATTAAAAAAAAGGAATCATTTGATTGTTATTCGTATGAGATTATCATGCTATATAATGATCAGCAAAATATACCTGATACATACGTACGTTGTGAAGGAGTAGATCGTTGCTTGTAATAGGTTTTTCTATATTTGGTGAATCAGATACATATCTGGCTTAGCCAAGTTGGCGCATTTTGTACATTTTGTACATAATGAACATATGCCACACATGGAACATATGGAACATATGCCACATATAGAACATATGAAACATATAGCACATATGGAACATATGGAACATATGGCACATATTCCACATATTCCACATATGCCACATATTCCACATATGCCACATATGGAACATATGGCACATATCCACATATGGAACATATGGCACATATTCCACATAGTGTACATAGCGAACATAGTGTACATATGGAATAAATGTAATATAGTTAGCATAGTGAGCATAGTGCTTATAATTGTAAAAAGATATAAAATACCCACTCTTACGCTCTAATAAAGATTAACTCAGTGAGTTCGATAACTCTCAGGGAGTTCAATGGTCTAAGTTAAAAAAATCAGAGTATTTAACTTGTGATTAGTTCCGAGAGTTCCAAACCTTCGAAATTAGAGTAGAAGTGTTGGATTCTACTAACCCCCCCCAATAAGTGAAATCTGTAAATAACGATTGGAATTCGTGACCAAATCCCGTGACTCTGTGTAAAGAGATTCGTGACGTAATCAAGAGCTCTAATCCGACACTATTACTAAGAACCCAATTGACCCTAGTTACTCGGACCAAGTCTTTCCACGCCTCGATCGTTGCCTACCACTACTAGGGGTTGGTTGTATTAGTCGTGGTGTTCTGGTTAGAGTAGTTTAGTTGGTTTTAGTAGTGTGTAGTTGTATTATCTAGGATCACAGGATTATATTTTGCCTTTTATAACGTACGTACGTACGTATCTGGTATGTCCATTATCTGTTATCACATACCGTATTCCACCGAAAATAAGCATCCCCTGCCCACACTATGCCAACTTCGGCCCGCTTTACAACAATCACGGCCAGCATTACGTGCAAAAAAAGGGTGCTTATTTTTGGAGGAATACGGTATTTTGTCGAGGCTTACATTAAAGCCTAATCCTGTATTTTATCGAGGTTTACATTAAAGTCTAATCTATAGTCTACACAAGGAAATCAATCGATTTCTTTTTTTTTAAATTTTACAGAATTTCGCAAACCGCAAATTATAATGATCTGATTTTAATTGGTGTTCATTGATGATTTTTGTGGTTATGTTGGGAGGAATAAGTGTACTGATTATATAAATGTGTTTCTTTTTTGAAGTAAAATCAAGCGTAGTCTAATTCAAATTTACCTAAAGTTATTACAAGTGTTTACAAAATAAGTTTCATTATCATTTATTGTAGTACAATGTTGTTCCTGAAAGATCACTGGACTTAACTGGATGGAATTGGAAACATAATAGCTTCGATCGAATGTCACTGGACCGTTTCAGTGAAGATTTTTTATCGCTGGAATGAAAGTTCTAGTAACGTGACTTCCAGTGACTTCCGATTGGCTGATTCGGATCAATCACTTGGAATAGTGAGTGGGGTAGAGATTGAGTCCGGCATAAAATTTAAGCTTCGGGCCACCTACTTGTTTACAAGAACATTACCGGGTCAAACAGGTCCATTTCTAATAACCAGAGTAACCTGGGTAATCCGGTTGATCTAATTGTCATGTAATAATTGACCGATACTGTTAAAATGAAATATTATTATTATATAAAAACAGCTATCGATTCCTTAAAAAAGTATTAGATGATATTTTGGACCGATTATAGTTAAAGACAAAATAGATTGAAAAGGTGATTTAGCAACAATATATTATACACACTGGAATGATAAAATTAATAGATGTTGCATCAAAAAGATTCATAGATCATATACTTGTTTAAAATTTCAGATTCAGATTCGCCATTTTTAGTACTTGATTTTTCATTATATAGGGTCTTTGCAGCAGAAAAAGCCTAAATGCTATATATATTATATATAGCATTTAGGCATTTTCTACTGCAAAGCCCCTAAATATATTTTGATTTTCAAATTTACTGCGTGCGATTAATTAGGACTAAATGTTCGTAAAGTTTCTTTAGCTTCTAATAAAAGGATATTGAGAATTTCGTTGTATTTAAATCAAAGTAATATTAGATTTAAAATTTTTTAAAACATAATATAATGACAACCCTTTCGGAAAACAATGTATCCATCTTTCTAAGAGGGTTAACAAGGTGTTTGCACAATAAAAATCTGGTTTTAAAAAAATAAAGACAAGAATATGTCTGATTTTGATGATCAAATTGTGCCTTTTCATTTTTTAGTTACAATTTGCAGATCTATAATTCAGATGCTGAATGAATTATATTGGCCCAAATAAATTCTTTAATTTTATTATTAATATTGAAATATTGTGGTCGTGGATATAGATTATGATTAATATTTGTCATGGCTGAAGCTTGAAATTTTAAATACTTTAATATGAAATTTTCAAGAATTTTTGAGGTGCATTTTTTTAGCTTTTTTTTTATAGTTAGCTTAGGATTTAGAGTTAGTTTTAATAATAAAAATGTATAAGTAGATTTTGGTAAGGTTTATATTTTTAAATCGAGGTATCTAATTTCAAGCTTCATCTTCGACAATATTTAGTAGGTCAATTTTGATAATAATAGTTCCTTTGTAGTCATAATGTTCAATTCGTGGTTCTCTATTGCACTGTTTACTTTTATCATCATTTTTTTATCATTTTTTCGAGCTTAGCGACAATTGCACCAATAGGTAAATTAAATAGGTTTAATTTGTTTATTTTGATACTTTTTATGATAAACATATGAATAACCATCTTTTTCATAGATCTTTATGATCTCAAGTGCTAATGAACTTGCAACAACTTCATTGGTGTCATTTATTCCTAATTCGTCAATTAGTAAAGAAACATCCACAACTATCTCAAAATCTATATGTGTGTTGCTTTCTCTCTCAATATTCATAAGTTTCATACACTATACTGTATGTTCAAGCTCTTCGGATTTTATAGCGGTTTCTTTTGTCTTGCAAATATCATTTAAAAGCTGGCCTTCATGTTTCCTTTTTTTTGCTTTCATTTACACAGTTTAAACACTCAAAACATGTTTTTGATTATTTTGAAATGCAATAATGGGTTTTACAATACTACAGAATGAACATTTTTGCACCAAATGTATTTGGAAAATATTATGATAAATTCGAAGAAATAAATTTCGATGTAAAAAAATTTTTTATTGTATGTACAGTGTGGGACAAAAAAAACCGGAAAAATTGTACATGATTTAAAATCATGTAAAACTCGTTTGATTTAAATCAGATCTAAGATCAGCAAAATGCAAATCAGAAGCAATGTTGAATATTTACTTTTAGCGATTTGTAATTTGCAAGTATATTGTAATTTTGTATACCCAAATAATAGCCATATGATGGTATCTAAAAAAAGAAGCCAGTGAAAAACTTTAGTATACCTGTGGAACAAAGGTGTACATAGTGCAAAAGAGCTTTATGCTCGAACCGGTATCCCCCGGTCTACTATTTACGACAATATAAAAAGGTTAAAAGTGCGTGGAAATGTTGACCATGCTAGAAGGAATGGTCGACCTAAAAAAATTAGTAATGTTGCCTCCCGGGCAATTGAGAAGCAAATTAAAAAGGATTCGTCTATTTCAACAAGAACTTTAGCAGCATACTTATCAAGTATAGGTAATGATGTTTCATATAGAACAATTAGAAGACATTTGGCTATAATAGGATATGTGAAAAATGTTCCACAAAAGACTCCCATGCTGATTAATAACCAAAAAAGAAAGAGAGTAGAATAGGCCCAGGCTCACCTTAATGATAATTGGAACAGAACTTTTTTTACAGATGAATCAGCCTTTCAACTCTTTCGAAATACGCTCAAGCATTGGCATAAGAAAGGTCAACAGCCAATTCGTCCAATTTCTAAAGACTGTACTAAAATTAAAGTGTAGGTAGTTTTTCAGTAAAGGGAAAATCAAGCTTATTTTGCTTTACACAAATTATGGACAAGAAATTTTATGTTGAAATTGTGTGCAAGCACCTTCCTGAAGTAAAAAAATGTTTGGTAAACGTTGACGTTGGCAACAAGATAATGACCCAAAACACACAAGCAAATTTGCTAAAGCATTTGTTTTAGAAAATGTTCCTGAACTTATGAACTGGCCATCGAACAGTCCTGATTTAAACCCTATCGAAAATTTGTGGTGCATTGTAAAAAATAATGTGGAAAAACGTATGCCATATAATTTGCAAGAATTAGAGCGGTATATGAAAGAGGAATGGAATAAAATTCCAAATTCAGTTTTAGTTAGTTTAGTAGGATCAATGAGGCGACGATGTGAATTAGTAATTGAAAATAATGGTGAACGAATATCATTTTAATTTTTTAATTAATAAATCGTCTAATATTTGTCTACCAATTATATAAATTTTATATGATTTTATGCGATCATTCTCCCGTAATCATACAATTTTTGATTCCGGTTTTTTTTGTCCCACACTGTAGATTTTTGTTTAAACTATCAAATCTAAAAAAATCATTAAATATCTTATATATTTTTAAAGACTTATATTACATAAAGTTTTATATAATTTAAAATTTTGGTGCTTATATATAAACTCAAGATTTACTTATTTGCGTGAGTAACACATACCAAAAAAGGAAATCAAATTTTTTGAATAAACTAAGTGCGCAAAGATATAAATTTTAGGCTAGAACGTTAGCATTAGAAACTATAGCAATAGATTATCACTCATCATATGTAAAATATCGTTTCCGGCATTTTTAATCAGTATACCAAAGTCGATTTAAACATTAGTTTGAGTATTTTCATTTTTCTTTACACGTATTCAGAAATCATGTCAGGCTGTCAAAATTTGTGCACTCTGATTGGCTATTAATTTTTAGGGCTTGTATTACTCGCGCAAACACTTTCATACTAATTGGCCAATTTTTGTAGATCATCCCGTGATATTGTAAAAATATCATTGGTTAATCGAAATATTCACAAGATGATGATTTGTACGAAGCTAATAATTAAATATTTAATACTGTATAAATTTAAATTGGCATTGATTTTTTTCATAAAGCTTTGATTGGCTAAAATTTAAATTTTAACAATTCGTTCTTCGATTAACCGCAACATTTCGATCACTAATTACATTGGAGGAGCACTCTAAGATAAGATGATCTTCAACAATCACCAAATCATAATAAAGCCTGCTATGCTTATTAATGAGTTGAAAATTGTTACGCGTGCAAGTAGGAACGACGATATATTGCGTTAAAATTTGGAGATCGATTACATATGTATAGTGAATATAGATGAAATGCATTCTTGGTAGAAATAGCGAAATCGCATACTAGTATAATTAGCATATTGGCCATATTTGTCTTATCAGTCGTATTTAGATATTTAGCGTATCTGTTATATCTGGCAGAATTAGCATATAGTGAGCTAATATATAAGCAAGCCAATTTTGTGTGTAAAGAAATCACTTTATAATGAACTAATAATTAAATACTTACTCGGCCAAGTCGTACGCCTCTTCTCAAGTGGAATTATTTTCCTGGTGTTACATATTCTCACATCTTTAGGTACTGTTACTTTAACTGTTGAATTTTGCGCACGTTATGGTTTGTTTTCGATCTCCGAATTTGCTTGACTGTTTTGTAGAATTTTTGGTGTATATTTTTTTCGGCTTTGCTGTACCAGTTTCAGAAAATTAGTTTGAAAACTCGAAACTAATAAAAATTTTTTATTACAAAAAAAAAATTTTTATTATGATAAAAATCATTAGTATAATGCAACAATATTTAACACTATGTACTAAAATTATATAAATTTTTTTTTAATTTTCATACTCACATTAAGAAACATTTTATAAATTGACAATCTGAAGAGTTTTATTATATTGTATATATATCAAATCATAACTTGTATTGATCAAAAAGATTATAGTATTACTAACACCTACCTTTAATATAATCTTTCACCCCCTATAAAAAAGGACCGTATAGAGTTTGTATAATATTCGTGTTAGATTTGTGAAATATATCTAAAAAGTGCCATTCTGTCTGATTTTTGTCTAATTTTATTTTATTTGAAATAAAACAAATATTAGACAAAAATTAGACAGAATGGCACTTTTTTTAGATATTTTTCACACATCTAGCATAAATTTTATACAATTCATTTTTTATAGGGCCTAAATCCTGATAAGAATCCAAGAATATCTAATTAATTATACGGGTCGACCCCGGCCCAACGGTCAAGTCGATGGGCGGTTCGACCCTCAGCCCGCCCTTTGTGGGCCGGGCCAGTTGATAAGAGAAGTGTTAGAATCAATTCTCTTTTAAAACATATTTCAGGCCAGAAATTAAAGAAAAATCAACTAGTAATTTGTAATAGCATAAGAGAATTGGCTTATTTAGGTGATAAATTGGCAAATAACGAATATAATCTAAGGATCAGGTCGATGTCGGAGTCGATCTAACCAAATTGATGAAAAATGCCAAATCTGCCAAAAAGGGCAGATATATCAGATAAGTCATATATGTCAGATAGGTCATATAGAACAGATATGATCGTAATGGCAAAAAAGTTCATAGTAAATTAGTACTATGTAAAGCATATGTAAAAAAACATTTAAACACAAAAATTTAGCTGTGAATAAAGAAGAACTCACCCTTAAGTTAAAATACGAATGAATAGCAGTACTGTAGTCCCCTTTGAGTGTTCTTTAGTTACGTTGTTATCAAATTTCGTATATCGCATTGTTTTATCCCCGTGATCACCGCAATAATCATAAACACCCTATTCTCGGACCAAATCAATCTTGGCTCGTCGAAACCTACCAATTTAGGTGTAGAGGAAGTATTTTATTAGATTTAGTAGATTTTATGTTAGGTTTTTGTCTAGTAGCGACCATTGTGGGACTAGTTATACCATTTCTCATCGTCACAATGTTTTTTCATTCTTTGCTATGTTCTGTACCATTTTTATAGCAGAATCCAAGTTTGTACTGATCATCGGAATTGCTGCCTCCAGCAAATTTCAAATACCATGCAAATGCTTTTTTTCATTCTTGACTATATCCTATGCCGTATTCATAGCTGAATCAATATATACACTAATAATCGGAATTTCTACCTCCAGCAGATTTCAAGTACCACAGAAATGTCTTTTTCATCCTTGATTGTACCCTATGCCCTTTTCGTAGCAGAATACCCATCTACATTAGTCATCAGAATTTTCACAATGAAATCCAAGTCTACACTGATTTCGAAATTGCGTTCCAGTAGATTTCAATGCCACACAAATGCTATTTTTCATCCTCTGCTGTACCCTATACCGTTTGATAACAGGATCAAAGTCTACACGGACCATCAAAATTGTTACCTCAACAGATTTCACATACCACACAAATATCTTTTTCCATCCTTGACTGTACCTTATACCAGGATCCAAGTATGCATTGATAATTAGATTGCAACCTCTAGTAGATTTAAAATACCACACAAGATGCCTTTATTCATTCTTTGCTGTGCCCTATGCTGTAAAACCAAGTCTGCACCGATCATCAAAATTCTTAGCTGTAACTATTCCGTTTTCATTATAGGATCCAAAATCGACTACCTGTCGGAACTGCCACCTTTTTGATGCCAATGCTGCTCGTTGAAATTGCCACCTTCAGAAGGTTTCAAATACCACACAATAACACACCCACCTTGAAACACCCGAAGCGTCAGTATAGTTTTCTGCCGGATATAGTTGGCGGTAGAATTAATTTGGCAAATTAATACGGCAACGGCGTGTGCCGTATTATTTGCCGTAATTCTGTAGTGCCGAATGCCGTAATGCACCGTAGTGCCGTAATGATGTAATAGGGTTGGAAAATTACCGTAATTTTACGTAATTTTACTTAAGTTTTTGTAAATTTCTGAAATCAAAATTACATGTAATTTTATCATGTGAAAATTGTGTCAAAATTTTTGTAAAGCTAACATAAAAATAAATATAAAATTAAAGTTCCGAACATAATAATGAATATTTATTAATGCCGGCAAAACTTTGTAATGCTATGCACACAATGCAATGAATATAATACTTCTCCAGCATGGTGCCAAGCATGCGATCTCCTAAGAGTTGACAAGTAGCGATATTAAAAACCTTCAATTTGAAGCTATTGAATGGATTCCATTCAATAAATTAGAAAACATAATGATCTCAAATATAAAATTTTTAGCTGTTTGGATTGATGGCATACGATTAGTTCCCAAATATTATGGAAAATACAGTACATACAATTGCGTAAATCACGAAGTGGTGTTACACTTATGACTTTTCCCAGTTCACGAATAAGTCTGTAGATTTTTTAAAGGATGTAAATTAATATTTTAACACACATAGCTTATGATAATAAATTATAAATTCTGTATATTTATTCTTAAGG